AGAAAAGAATGAGTTTTCCAGCCTTCTCCGCTACAGGAGAAGAACGAACTTTAGAGAGAAGAGTACCACTGGTTAATCAAGTCAAACCCTAACACGTTCACCGTGCAAGTAACCACACTAGAGAAATCAAATCTAAACGCGAACGTTGGAAATAATCCAAACGTTAAGATGAAAATCCACAAATTAATGAAGAAACCCCAAGAAAAATCGAACAATCAACTCAAGTCTCGACAACCACCGATGATCGGAAAACCACCAAATGCCGGTGAAACAAATGAGGGGTAAGATGCGCAATGAATGAGCGTGAGTAAAGGCAGAAAACCTGCTCTGGTACCATGACAACAATCTAGATCGAGCAGAAATGGGGGAATTTCATTAGGGTTTGATAGAGAAGAAGAGAGGAAATTTGCTCAACCCGAGAAATGAAAATGAGAGAAAATGGCCAGATGAATCCTGTTAGACCCAACACCATATATTTATAAAGTGGGCCTTAGTCGGGTGCCCAATACAAAATGAACCTCTAACCATACAGTTTGATCCATTAGCTACTCTTTACCGAAATGGCAAAAAATAAATACAATACTCTATTACATGATTAGCCACTAAGTTTGTATTTTGGACCAGAAGCTAAGTACTCCATCATGTCAACAAATCGTGCCAAGTTTGAGGAAATATCTAAGATTTTAGCCTTCTTTATAAATAAAATAGCATAAATATGTACAATTCGATACAAGTTGAAAAATAGTGCGAGTAAATATATACCAAGATAAAATAGGAAATAAAGTCTTAATATTTTATATCTTCAAACCCAAACTCATATATGAAATGAATTGCAAAAATAAATCAATACACCTCATTAAAGTCTTGCGTACGCTACTAAACGAGTCCATCAGGGTAGTGATCGAGCTGTGCAGGAGTAGAAATACAGTCACTATACTCGTTAAACACGAGCCTCAACAGTCTTTAACTACGTGAAGACCTTTGTAATATAGTATAATAATTATATTCTTTTTTTTCGTATTTTTCTTCTATTTCTAGAATCGTTTAAGTCCTTTTCAAAAAATGGCCAAGTCATCAATATAGTTAGTAAATGGTAGCTGGAAGAATAAGGTGTTTAATTAGCTATTATTATATGGCTGCATCTGAATAGTCATAATTCCTTAGTAAAAAGTCGGCACCGGAATCGACTTAATTCCGGTAGGTCAAATTTTTGACGACGTGGCATTCTTTAACTGCTTTTAAGATTTATTTATTTATTGTCCAATCAATAAATGCCAAATGGAATTCTGCATTAAATAAAAATTTAATGGTCATGCAAATAATCTAGTTTGGGGTGTAGGGGTGAAGAATAAATACATTCCTTATATTAATTTCTTAGCACTAATCGAGGAATTTATGTCATGTCCTGTCATGACATTCTGAAACTAGAAAAAATGAAAAATGGAATTTCCCTAAATAGGAAATAAAACATAGAGCTAATTAAGAGCCACATGTATATAGTATATACAACAAAAAGTTGAATAAATTAAATTTTCTTGAACTACTTTTAATTCTGTTGAATTTTCTGTAGACCTATTTTTTAGATTAATGGATATGATGCTGATCTTTAATTTGTTAATTTTGTCACTAAAAATTAGTGTAAAATAAATGATTTATGAATTTTGCTTCTCTAAAGAAGACGAACAACCAGTTAAAAATGAAAGTGTTTGGTACACATAACTCTAACTTCATCAATTAGATGTAAATGTCATGCATTATTATTACATTAATGTAAATTGGAGTAGTTTTTTTTAGTGACAATGGTAAATAAGGGAAAGAGGAGAAGGTTTAAGAATAAATTTTTCTGTATATAAAATGAATTTTTTTAAGTTCTTATTAGTATTAAATAGAATTTTGAGATCACGAACGGTAAGTGCATCTGAATTGTTTATCCAGTTTAATGTTATATCATCACTTCACAACCAATTTGAATTATTCTGTATATGATAAAACAGAATTTCTTGGATTTCTGACGCTAGTGGAATCTTTTTAACGTATTATTTTATTTCGCCTAGAGTCATGAGCCTTTAAAAAGTTGTAAAAGAAAAAAAATGTTTTTTTTCAGAGAGAATACTTGTCTTGTTGACTTACATTAACACTAAAGTATATCACATGATCGAATATTAGGTAGTAGTCATTTTATTTTAAAAGAAAGAACTAACAGAAATACATAAAGAAAAGCTGAAATCAAATATAGTTAGGCTTTCACAAATAAGTAAAATAATCAAAGTTGGTTTGTTCTATAATAGAAAATTTTATATTAAATGATATCCATCACTTTTTAGCATTTTCACATTTAGACGGTCCACATTTTCGACTAAGGTTGAGATTTTTTTAAAAAATATATATATTTTTGCCGCGTAGACCCCATAAAAGGGCAATGGCGTTTCCTATCCGATTTTTTTTTAATTCCCATGGTTCTAAGTCTTTAACTCGAAACCTTTTATTAAGAGTGTAGAAATCATATTCATACCACTACAATTTTGGTGGTGACTTGGGGTAGCAAATCGGTGGGTCGGGTCGGATATGAGCAACTCAAAATCGGTAATGTAAAAATAGATAAATTATCCGACCTGAATCATATTTAATAAGGATAAAAGACGGGTTAACTGGCGGATAATATGAATATCCATATTATCCATAACTTCTTGAAAATGATCACTTTTAGAATAATTTCTAGTCTCCCAAACTTGAAGAACACCCAATTTTATGCTTTACAAATGTGAAAGTTATCCATTTTCTAATTTGATAATATGGTTCTTATCCATATTTGACCCATTTTTAAAAGATTCATTATCCAACCTATTTTTTAATTGATAATATGGGTGGATAACTATTTTCTTTTATCTATTTTGCCACCACTAACAGTGACAAAGGTTGAGATTTTCTTCTTGCCTTTTTGCCGCTTATCTTGATTTGTCCAATATTCTTAATCTTAGAACTTTTAAATTTTACCATTTTTTCTCAAATAAGTACTTATACGTATACACAGTTTACATTAAATTAATGAGTTACTCTTAAGAGTCACTAACTAATTAAAATGAGAATATATATCATTTAACTATAGTTAATCGATAATTATTGGTTTGATATAAATAGGTACATCATCAATATCATATAGCCCTAAGTTTTTACCTTTTTCTCATATCCATTCTACAAAACTATCAGTCAATCAACAACTTCGTGGTCTTTTGCTCCTTCATTAGTGCTTCTAACGAGTTAAAATATGTTTGATTTTTGTGTCCTATATTTAACCATTATTCATAATTCAAAACTCAAATAAATCTAAATATTAAAAATATGTGGAATTCCATTTTAAAAAGTTGTTGGTCTCTTAATTACCTTATAAGTAAGGATCGTTTAAAGCTAATGTGCCGGCAAATATGCAATAACTCAACTAAAGCATTCTTAGGAAATCTTACAAAAATGTCTCAAATAAGTTCCAACTTACCGACCCCTAGCCACTAATCATAAACTTACCAAAACTAACCAAGCACATATAAAAATTGAAAACCCAAATAAATAAGATTCTTCTCTCCAAGAATTATACGCAAAGATCTCCTTTCATATTTTTAAGCATGATCAACAACATTAGATGCAAGACGGAAAGGAAATTTCATGGAGGAGGTAGCAAAAGTAATGAAATACAAAAAAAATATATATACAAGATTTCAAAAATCTAAGCAAAAAAAGAAACATTTTCAACGGATATGGTTGAAAATCATTAAAAACATATAGATGAGTCAATATACAAAATTTGAGAAAGATTGGAGGTGATTTGGATTGATTTGGTATCAAAATTCGTAGTTAAAATCGAGTTGAAAAAATTCTTTTGCGACACATGTATCAAACATGTATCACGCATGTATCTCACACATAGGTATACATGTGATACACATTTGATACAAATATGATACATATGTGATATACAAATGATACACAACGAGATACACATATCATTTTTTTTCATGTTCATATTCTAATTCGAATTTTCAATTTAAACCACCTCAAAACTCCACCAAATCATCCCAGAATTGAGATTCAAGCTTTTAAAGATGTACCTAATCTATCCTAATAACACACACTCGAAAGAAAGCAAAAATTTAATATTTTTTGGCTACAAGTAGTTAATTGGCTAATTAGTAATATTTTATGAATTGATCAATTTTTGTAATAAGCTACATATAAATGGACATAGCTGGTAGCTTCCCGCATTCTTCTTCTCTCTTATATGTTATAATTTTTGGTTTTTCTTTGATGAGATATATTTCTATTTCTAATACAAATACAAATTATCCGAGATTTATTTCAAGTATCTATCTAATTAGAAACTATTCTCCTTTCTTTAATCTTTAAGCTGCAACTAATTAAACTTGTTAATTGAGACACAAAAAAGTAAATACAGATGCTGGTTAAAATATATGTATTGAGAAAAAAATCAAGTTCAAACTATAGTAGGATGTTAGTGATTTGCCTTAAAAATTACGTCAACCAATGACACAAAATGACGTCATTATTCCTCAAAAATGAGGAAATTGTGGTCACTCAAAGTTTTTTTCAATAATTTGGAAGAAAAATGCCCAAGGAGACTTTTTCTTGTAAGTTTAATTTTCTTTGGATCATTGCAATTCAATCGACCATAACAGATTATTATCTTATTTTAATTCTAATTAAGTTATATATCATACTTGCTAGCAAAAATATGTGTTGTTGTACGACAACTTAACTTTATAGAATACGAAAATTCAAACAATGTAAGTGAATTAATAAAAAATTAAACTTTTTTTTTCTCAAAAGGATTTAATCTTTTATATATTAACAGTATAATTATTTTTTTCCAATACCGACATATTTCAGCCAGTTGAAACGGATAACATATCTCATTTTTTCAAGTTACTAATTTCACTTTTTATGAACATCTACCTATAATTATCTATAAGATGAATAGAAGCTAAACTCTTCAAAAAAGTCCCAATCGGCCCTAGGAAAATTTCCTCCATCTCTCTATATATATTGTCATCTCACTAACTCTCAAATCTCACCAAAGTGATCATTATAGACTCCACATAAAGTTCATTATTTAACTACACTTCCTCCATCCCATCAAAATGGAATGCAGTGATAACAAAACCACCACCATTTCTTCACTAATTGCATCCTCAAAAAACTCACCTAATATTGTTTCTGCAACTACAACAAGTAGTGGATTATTATCTCCCAAAAGCATATTATCAGCTCCTCCTTTTTCACCACCACCACCAGTGATTCTTACTCCCTGTGCTGCTTGCAAAATCCTGCGCAGGAGATGTGTTGACAAATGTGTATTGGCACCCTATTTTCCTCCCACTGATCCCCTTAAATTTACCATTGCTCATAGAGTTTTTGGTGCTAGCAACATCATCAAAATGTTGCAGGTATTTATATCTTGGCTTCATTCTTGATTTTTGCAGGATTTTAACTTTATATACATATAGTGTAAAGAATTTTTTTATATTATAGTATATTTTAATATGATACGGAGGGTAATCAACCTATCTTTCCGGTTACTAGTTTTTGTTTTTATAAATATAATTATAATCAGTGTTATAAAAGTTAAGAACTCTTTTCACTTTCATTCATCATGTGTTGAGATGTGAACATAGACACAAGTACACAGCTGAACTTTCTTGATTTTTGGCGTTTTTGGATTTTTGCCCCCCACCCTCCTTTTTTTTAATTTGCAATAATGATGCTTTCTTTTAGTTGGTCATTTCTTCTTTGGACTTAAACTTGGTCATTTTTAAAGAGCCATAGATTTTGACAAAATAAATTTGTATTTTATTTGTCAACCACATGTTTGGCCATAGATTTTGCCTATATTTTGGCCAAATCTCAAATCCTAAATCTCAAAACCAGCTCAATAGCTGGTTTTGGGCCAAAATATCACTATTATATTTTTTAAAAATTGCCCCAAACTTTTATATTTTATAAAAGAGCCCACTATTTATTATTTTGTAACGATGTTGCTTCGTCTTCTCGGTCATCTGATAGTGTATCATGTAGTTCATTATAAAAATGATAATTTTGTATCAAATTTATTTATGCTCGGGACTATGGTTTGCGATAATATAATGAATGTTATTGATAATGGTATTGTTGGGTATTTGTGATAGTTTTTAGAACTTGTGGGTATAAGTCGGTTTCATGTTTTTCTAAACCAAACTTCACCCAAAATAGATGTCCAAACACATTTTCATCTTCAAACCAAACTTCACCCAAATCAGATTTTTCAAAATAAATTTGGGAATCTATGGCCAAACGCTAGCCAAGTGTTGTGAGACTTCTTTTATCATTTGCCTTGTTCTTTTTCACATTCTACACGTAGCTATAATTTTCCATGATCTAATTTTAATTACAATGATTTATACCTTTTCTTTAAGATCAACTTTGATAAGCTAACAAGATCACCCCCCCCCCCCCCCCCCAAAACCTTCCAACACACACGCACACAAAATGATTGAGATTTCCATCCCCTCATTTTAAATTTAATGGTGTTTGATTTATTGTGTTACGTACATTATAAATAATTTCTTCTGCTCGGCCTTTTCTACCATTTAGACGTGCTAATAATATTCTTGTAACACAAATCAGATATCCTATTTGATCAGTTGCATACAACTAATTAAATAGCTGAAATCAGTAATATTCTTGATATAGATTGAGGTTGTCATTAAACTCAAATTTCAATTTATCAATAATTTTTTTAATCTTAATTTTTAAAGAAAGTAGAAATTGTTTGAAGTTGATGAATATTGAAAACCTCGAAATTTGCAGGAGCTACCAGAGGAACAAAGAGCAGATGCTGTGAACAGTATGGTGTATGAGGCAAATGCCAGAATCAGAGATCCAGTTTATGGTTGTGCTGGTGTTATTTGCCAATTGCAAAAGCAAATAAGTGAGCTTCAAGCAGAATTCGCCAAGTCACAAGCAGAAATCTTGAATTTAAAATGCCAAAATTCTAATTTGCTAGCCTTAGTTTGCATGGAAGTATCAGAATTTCAAGAAATTAGCAGCAATGAGTATGGAAATACCAGCCTGTTTTTGGAAGATAACAGTGTATATGCAGCTTGGGAGACACTTTGGACATGATTAGGGAATAAGGGACAAAAATTACTACGCCTTTGTCCCAAACACGAAGATAATTTGGTGACATACTTTTAATAAATATATGTTAGCAAGAGGTTTTAAGGGTAATATCAAAAATAGGTGTTTGACGAAATCAGATGTAATTCATGAGACTTACTTTAGTTTTTTATTTGAAGAATATATTATACAGATGGTTGGTACACTCTTTTGATGAATATGTTTTTTATTTGGTACGATCCCTCGGTCCAAATTATTTATTGTTTTTTCGCTTCTTGAAATTCAAAAGTATGAACTTGACCCCGATATTTTAAAATGTATTTTTTATTGTATTAACCTAACAAGAATTCTAATTTATGCTACTTTTTGTATAGTTGTGCAATATTTAGACTTTAGTTTTAAAATTTTGAGTTCTAATTAAATTTAGCTTCAAAGTTTAGTTAAATTAACTTTCGTAAAATTGGGACTTAAATAATACTATTTTGCATGGTTTCCTTGTTGAGCTTACCTTTGGCTGATTTTAGGTTAACTGCATCGACTTTTATTGATGGCTATGCTCTAAAATTTTCCAATAAAGAAACCTTTTCTCGTAGAGACGATGGAGAAAAAGAAATTAATTGGCGGTCCCTTTTTTGTTTCTAAGGAGAAAAAACTGAGGATGTCTCTTTACATGTGAAAAGCATTTAGAAGTATAAAGCAGGTCAAGCACACAACAGCAAGGGACAACTTTTTGGAAGGAAAACATGATTTATTAACACAACAAACGGCTGTTAGAAATGGATTTTCATATACTTATTGTTGAACAAAGATTTATATATGTTTAAATTCACTTCTCTTTGTCTCTAGATTTCAACACTAATCACTCGTTAATTCTACGCTCATGCCACCAGATATATTTATGTGATGACCCGATAGGTCATTTATAGTTTTTACCCTCAATTCTGTATTTCGAAACTCCGAATAGCCCCGTTTAACCTTCTTCGATTTGTGTGCGCAGTCTGTGTCTTTTTCCGGAAATTTTTTATGTGAAAAATTGACGAAAATGTGAAATCGTGCCTTAAAACTCATTTGAGTTAACTTCGGTCAACGTTTTGAACAAACGGATCCTGACTAGTGTTTTGACGGTTCCAGTGGGTCCGTATCGTGATTTGGGACTTGGGTGTATGCCCGAAATCGAATTCGAAAGTCCCTAACTTGATTTATCATATATTGTTGAAAACTAGAAGTTTAAATGTTTAAAGAAATTCCAAGTACCGTAGTTTGACTTTGTTGCTACCGAGTCCGGTTTCGGGTTCCGAAACTTGGTATAAGTTCACTACAGTATTTATGACTTATCTGCAAAATTTGGTGTAAAACGGAGTTGATTTGACGTGATTCGGACGTCTGGTTGAAAAGTTGTATGTTCTTAAGTTTTATTGAAAATTTCATTCGTTTTGGTGTCTGATTCATAGTTCTAGGTATTATTTTGGTGTTTGATTGCGCGAGCGAGTTCGTATGATATTTTTGAACTTGTGTGCATGTTTGGTTTGGAGACCCGAGGGCTCGGGTAAGTTTCGGATAGACTTCGGAGTGGTTGTTGACTTAGGAAAATAGCTGGTGCAATCTGGCTCTGGTGCAGGTCTTTGACCTCGCAATCAGTGTTCGCATTTGCGAACGTTCGTGTCTTCTGTCAGGTTCGCATTCGCGAACAAGTAGTTCGCATTTGCGAAGTGGTATTGGGGGAGGGTAGTTCGCATTTGCGATTAAATAGTCGCAATTGCGAGAGTCCAAGTTCGCATTTGCGAACAAAACTATCGCATTTGCGATGGTAGCAGAGATGGGGGATCTTCGCATTTGCGAAGGCTTTCTCGCATTTGTGAACTCAGGTCGCAAAATCTGTGCAAGGACAAAAGAAGGGAAAATGGGAATTAGCTCATTTCTTTCAAATTCTCAACCCTAAACACCTTAGAGGCGATTTTCCCAAGAGCTTTTCTTCCTAAATTCATTGGTAAGTGACTCTAATCTAATTTCTTTCAATTACCCATTACATTTCATAAGATTTTAACATCAAATCTAGAATTTTCATGGTAGAAATTAGGGATTTGGGTAGAATTAGAAATTTTTGTAAAATTGGGATTTAGACCTCGAATTGAGGTCGGATTTCGAATCGAATTGCATAACCGAGCTCAGGGGTAAATGGGTGATCGGGTTTTGATCCGAACCTCGAATTTTGACCAAGCGGACCTGGGGTTGACTTTTGTTGACTTTTTCAATAATGATCTAAATTGAACCTCTTTCATTCGTAGGTGATTTCAAAGGTTTATTTTAAATCGTTTGGTTAATAATTTGCTAGATTTGGTTGGTTTGGAGGCTTGTTCGAAAGGTAAGGCCGTGGTTGAACTTTGAGTTGATTGTGGAGTGAGGTAAGTATTGGGTCTAACCTTGATTTGAGGGAATTAGGAACCCTTGAGCTATGTGCTATGTGAATTTCATGAGTAGCGACGTATATGCGAGGTGACGAGTGTCTATACGCCGTCAATTACTTATTTTCATGTCTACCTGTATTTTATTGATTATAGCATTCCATGTCTTGATTGTTACATGCCTTAATTGCTTCATATGCCTTAACGTGCTACTTGTCATTTATTATTCTCGCATTACAAATGTTAACCCCTTTCATGCTCCAATGCTTAATTGATACTTGCCTTAATTGTCTTACTTGTATCCTTACACTGTCATATATTTGACTTGCTTTGTTGTTCAGTATTAATTGTAGCTCTTCATGATTTGGTACGAGATTCCTTCTTGATTTGTAGCTTTCATATTCGTTAATCGTAGAGATTCTTGTGATTCGAATTGTTAAATTTATTGCACTTATTGATTTATTTATGGATCGGTTTGCACGCCGCAACAAGAGGAATAATAAAGGATTTATATTGATACGCTGAGATCGGGTTGCGCGCCGCAACCGGTGAAATAAGGGTGGATTGATATGGTGAAATAAAGGTGAATTATGATATTGACTCTGATTATATGGTGGGATCAGGTTGCGCGCCGTAACATATATTTACTTATTATTATTATTGATATTTATATGGTGGAATAAGGGAGGATAGTGTTGTACGGTGGGATTGGGTTGTGCGCCCCAACAATTTATGTTTTTTCTATTCCTTATTGTATTGTGTTGGCTTCGGTTTTTTCGTGCGAGACTCAAAGGATTGGTATTTCTGGTATTTACTAGTTTTTTTTAGGATTGAGTTATTTTCATGAGCTAACTGATTTATTTCGTTTTCGTATTTTTCTTTTCTGCCATTATTTTATACTGCGTACAGGTTATATTGTAGGTGACTCGCCTTAGCCTCGTTACTACTTCGTCAAGGTTAGGATCAACACTTATAGAATACATGGGGTCGCTTGTACTCATACTACACTCTGCACTTCTTGTGCAGATTTTGGAGTCGGTCCCAGCGACGATCAATAGATTACTCGGGTTGACTATTAGTACGGAGACTTGAGGTATAACTGCTCGACGTTCTTAGTCCTAAAGTCCCCTTCTACCTTATCTTAGCTGTGTATTTTCTTTCATACAACTTTACTTTCATTCACACCTTTATTGGTATTATTCTAGTAGCTCGTGCACTTGTGACACCAGATTCGGGGATGTATTTCAATATTTCAGTTGTTATGGCTTTCCGCACTTTATTTCAGTTTTATCTCAGTTATTTTAGAAATTGCCATCAGTTAAATTTGATTTGTTTAAAAAATATATGGCTTAAAACTAATCTTACGTTGGCTTGCTTGGCAAGTGAAATGTTAGGCGACGTCACGATCCTGAGGATGAGAATTTTGGGTCGTGACAATTTATTAAGATGGTGGGGGCCGGGACGGGGGCTATTTGTCCGTCCTTGATTATATAATAGATGATTTAGTGCATAGAGTTTTAGTGGGCGTTTGGACATAAGAATTGTAAAAATCCAAAAAAAAAGTAAAAAAAAAAAAAAAAAAAAAAAAA